GGGGGGGGGGGGGGGGGGGGGGGGAGAGGAACCCGCCAATGATAATTTCCAAATCAAAAAGTTGCCACCAAAGTATTCCACTCAAATCAAATCAAAAAGATATAGAGAAATCGCAGTTGATAAAGAATACTTTCTAGTGATTGACAGGTACTGCTAAGGACTAATTCCCCAAGCTGCAGGCACATGCAGCACATAAATCAGGGAAAAAATGTTATGCAACATTTACCTCTAGGTTTCGTCTTACTTGTGCTTCTTCTCAAGTTTGAAAGCATATATTCAATGAACAATTGGCGGCCATGGACATGCAAGCGCAATAAGACGAAACAATCTCATTATTAAAGAAAGAAATTATAACTCTACTTTACAAGACGAAAAGGTATCTGGAATAAAATCGCAAAAAAAAGTCTGAAGATGAAATCTGTGCTATATAGCTAAACTTAAGTTAGGAAAAATACGTTTAGAAAAAAATGATAAGATTTGGGATGCTTTGATGCCTGATGAATGCAACAAGGTGAAATGTACAATTGAAAATCCCTTCAGCGTTCAATTTTTCTGAAAAACAAGTCGTGAGAGTTGAACAGTGCATGTCAATGGCTCAGTGTTTATCAAAGAATGCGATAAATAAATAAAAAGATTGTTATAAAAGCTGATAGGGCATTTGTTTTTATCTGTTTATCGTTTTGTTAAATAAAAAACACACCGATGACGACTATCTGTCACGGAAAATTTTATGCGCCTTTTGAAAACGGAGTAAAATTACATGAAAACGAAGATTTTAAAACTCACACATGCATCCAATAATTCGATCGGGGAAGTGAGATGGTACGAGGTTTGGTCTCTCCTTGGTAGAAGATTCAGCGCGGTAGTAAACTTTTGGTTCGTAACGCTAAAAAAGTATTTGGAAGCAAAAAAGCGAGAAGAATAACGTCAAGTAGCGAGAGTGGTCAATATATGAATGCAATTCAATGTTAGTATCATACAGTAATAACGACATCTGAGCAAAGAAGTTCAAAGAAAATTCTTAAAAACAAAGATTTCTTCCCATAGAGAAAATACTAAGTTATAATTCAAATGAATTGGAGAGTTAAAATAAACAAAAGCAAAAGCTCACATCATCTCCAGCAAGACGAGCCAATAACATCTTCTTCTCACGACCAGTGGCGTGCTCCAACGGATCCGGATAATAACCGTAATCTTCAGGTGAAGCTTCTGTAGCTAGACCACGACGTCCAGCAATGGCAGTTGGAATAAGAGTACGCTTACTAATGGTCGATAAGACGGTTCGAGCTGTAAGCTGAGCCATGCCTGAAAACTCAAAAATTTTGCAAGCGTTGAAAATTTAGCAAAAATTGAGAGCACCAAATCACCAAACAGAACTGATGCGATAAGGTGAATGTACTGAAAAAGACTAGTAAACAGATAAGAAGGAGAATGACACGTGGATCTCGCTTTCAATGAACTTTGAATAAGATTTTTCCAAAAGAATTTGATAAAGATTAACGGAATACGAAAATAACTGAACTAGATTTGTCAAAGCAGCAAAGAGCAACATAGCATAGAAGAACTTAGCGTAAGATCTAAAAGTTTTTCATTCCATACGGTAAGGGAAAAACGTCTTTGATCTTTCCAATCAGCATGAAGCAAGCAAGCGGTCTAAATATAGCGAAAAAATAATGTGCAACAAAAAAATAATAGGTGCAAGCACAAAAGCGGCTTCTTATTTTTGCGGAAACAATGGGACTTCTTCCGTGTAAACATATGTTAGAAAAAACCGTGAAAAT